TTGCCAGTGACATCTAATAGCAACATATCTACTAGGCAACTGACGCCCTACCGCTGATTCTCGACAAAATGCGTTTTCCTCGGTGTTATAGCGCATTCCCTAGAAGACCCGTGAACGGTGAAACATTTCATCTTTGACCTGACCTGTGACGTCATCGGTGACCCCGAGGTCAATGAAATTTGGTTTCCTTCGACAAATTTGACAGGCCTTTCGAACGCCGTTTGAATTTTGCGGATCCGTCCAGTAGTTTCGGAGACACGAGGGGGGGGGGCAAAAAATAGCCCCCCCCCCACCAGGTCGCGTTATAAACAGACCCCACCAGGGCGCGGGTTAATCGCCAAAAACGATTTTTATAATAAAACCCGAGGCCTTAAAAAAGTAAGTGAAAATTTGAAATTATCGGTTGGACGTAGGCTGATTTCAGTACCAATACCTATTATCACATCAGATGTATCCAGCGAACAAACAAGGCGCCTCTCCCCCTCCATAAATATGAGGGTCTCTGCCTCTATCTATAGCTAATGATAACCGTAATAGCGTCGCTACCTAAATCGGTAATGCCTAGAAGCTGCTAATGGAAAGCAGGAGGGCAATCGCTCGTTACCGTTTCCATTACCTCTCATACATCAGGCCATAACATATTCAAGATCTGTGTTCGATAGCGTATATGGAGTGGCGTTTGGCTCTTGGAATATGAAACAGCCAGGGATGCCCTATACATATAGTTCCAGGATGACTAGAAAAATTTGGCACTTGCAGGGATTAATAATCATTTTCGTACTTACCCAGTAAACATGCCGACGTCGGCCCGACGTCGGCCGACGTCGGGGTGACGTCGGCAACTCGGCATCAGCATGCCGACGTCGGTCCGACGTCGGTCCAACCTCGGCACGACGTCGGCTGGATGTCGGATATGCCCGCATGTTCCGACGTCCAGCCGAGGTCCAGCCGACGTCGGGCCGACGTCGGACCGAGATCAATTGCTGAGGTCCAGCCGACGTCGGGCCGACATCGGGGCGACGTCGGACCGACATCGGCCGCTGTTTTGACCGTTAAAATAATATAAAATTCATGTTTCATGTTTCATAAAGAGCTTCTGTATTCAAAATATCCTCAGGAAACTCAAATCTTCCTCCACGCCGCAACCCCCTGATCCGGACGGGACGGGAAACTTTATCCCATTTGGGATTGCCCGTAAGCCGAGCTCGCCGGTAGCCGGGTGCGGTGAGTGCTTGGGGGCTGCTCGGCCTATCCTTTGGTCAGGCTCAGCCCCGGCAACTCACCAGGGCCGGGCCCAGTTCATATAGAAAGGCCAGTCGGCAAGTGTCACTTTGCCGAAGTGCCACTTATCAAAGGGACACTTTGGGAAACGTTGGTGCAGGTGTGTAAGAGTGGCTATATGAATCCATTGTGGGGTCGCCCTTTCCAATAAGTGTCACGTAACAGCAATGGGACCAGGGACTCTATATGAACTGGACCCAGGGTGCTCGCCAAGAAGACCAATGTCTCCATCCTATGATCCTTCCGGCTCTGAAATGGTCTTGTCAGACCGAAAGGGCATAACCCAACAAAACAAACCAAATTCGCTAGCTGGCTGCGTGGTGTAGTGGTTAGCGCACTAACCCCGCGTTCATATGACACGGGGTTCGAATCCCATCGCCGGCTGATGCTTTTGGCGTGTTGTCCCAGTAAACATGCCGACGTCGGCGACTGGGGGGCTCGAATCCCGCCGCCGGTTGATATTTTTGGCGCGTTGTCCCAATAAACATGCCGACGTCGGCCCCGTCGGTTCAACGACAAACGATCTCGTCATCCTCGGCAAACGATCTCGGCCCGACGTCGGCCCGACGTCGGCTGCACTTCGGCTGGACGTCGGAACATGCGGGCATATCCGACGTCCAGCCGATGTCGGGCCGAGGTTGAACCGACGTTGGGCCGACGTCGGGCCGAGCCTCGGCCCGACGTCGGGCCGACGTCGTCATGTTTACTGGGTAGTTCATTCAAAAGGAGTCTTGAAGCTCGGAATGCAAATATATTCTAGACTGATCCAAAATATTCGATTTTTTAATAGCTAGAGCCTCGCTGGCTCTGCTCCGTCCGGTCGCCGTGCCTCAGAGCTCATTATCCAAACGGCTGTCCCGGCGCATTTGCCGTCATATATGTGCAGAACGGCAATCAGCCACCACCCTTTATTCTGTCCATAAATTTGGCCACCCGGTCCGGCACTAATTCGATACTGCGCCCCTGTCACCGATATAAAGGACAACCAGACACTGGCTGACCAGGTTGGTCACCCATTCAGGCTCCCACGGGGGCCGTATTCCACCGGCCACGCTGACCGAAACCCTATGGTTCCGGAGTACAACCCCCCTCCCCCTCCACCGCGCCGGACGTCCGACCACGCCCCCCGTTTTCCGGTGACGGGGACCCTGCAGAGGGGAGGGGGAGGGAGGTGTGGTTGATAAAACACGCGCTAGCACGTGCAGACCACGTGCGGACCCAGTCCCTGGAGGGATTAGCGTGTTTTTACAGGGGGACAGATAATGGATTAGTCAGGATTTTGGAAATAAGTCCGGTCGTGATTTGTTTGAAACAATTTAGGCATCACACATACTGATGCAGAAATGTATTTTCTCTGAAGCTAATGTGCTTATTTTGCAACACCTATTTTTGCAAGGGGTCATTATTGGATAATGCAAAAGGACATGCGTTGCGAATGGACCACTGACAATGACAACCATTATCGATTCGCTCTCCATACCTGCCTCGTTTTACACATATTATAGGTACCTTCTAGATACTGGTCCATCCAGAAAAAAACATTCTTCATCAAAGTGTTTGATAACTTGCGACGAAATCAAGCAGCTGCTCACCGTTAACCCGCGCCCCACTGGGGGGGGGGCTATTTATAGCCCCCCATCCCGTTTTTCTGCAATAATTTCCAAACCGCTTGACGTATCGACGCCAAACTTTCAGTACCTTCGGCTGCATCAATTTGACACCTTGTGTCAAAATTTTAACTTCGTAGCTACCATAGGTCGGCCGGAAATGACGTCAGAGTGACGTCATGTTCGGCCGATTTCGACGCAAAACATTGAACCACGGCAATCGCTCCCAAGAGCTCAGTTTTTAAGCTAGATCCAATTTCTTTGCATGAGAGGACTCAGAATAGACTGCGCTATCAAACTGCTATCTCTGATTTTCGAAATTTTGAAAATTTCGAAAATTTGATATAATAAAATCCAAAATTTATATTTTTATATTTTTTTCAAAAAGTTTTTGACTTTTCGAAAAAAAACGGAATATATGTGATAGAACGCATTATTATGACTAACTCTAGCAAGTTTTAGCTAAATACCTTCAAAAATGGCCAAGTTTTACGCATTATTGCAAAAAATTCACAATTATTAATTTTTCAAATCAATTTTTCAGCACGTATTTGACATCGTACGCCAACATAAATAGCACCATCGTGTTCCTGAGCTCAAACTGCATCCAATAGACACCTTTTTTGTTGAAAAATTTCAACTTCAAAATTTGACCTTTTTTGACCTGAAAGTGACCTGACCTAAGCTAAATTCGACTCAAAATGACCTCGAATGACACAGACGACATCACATTCGAAATTTCTGGCCTAAATGGACCATAAAGCATGTGTCACGTGACCGACGCACGATATAATATTTTCGTGACCTGTGATGACCTGACCTTGACCTGAAAATCAAAGTACAAGTTTGGTACCCTCGGGGTATCTAGAGCATCTGTTCACGAGTGTGTGATCCAAAAATGAGGCTGATCTGACTTGTAAGACGGCGGCCAGAGCCCAAAACGTGAACAAGCAAAATGCTAATAATTTTTACTTTGACTTGACCTGTGACGTCATCGGTGACCTCGAGGTCAATGAAATTAGGTTTCGCTCGACAGTTTTTCCGGGGCTATCAGACGCCGTTTGAATTTTGACGATCGGCCCAGTAGTTTCGGAGTTAGGAGGGGGGGGGGCTATGAATAGCCCCCCCCCCCAGTAGGGCGTGTTATACGCAGACCCCAGTGGGGCGCGGGTTAATCTCCGCTCCACCAGCGCAAATTATTTTCAAATTAGCAGTAAAATATTGAATTGCTTTCCCATAAGCATGGTCATAGCTCACTGCCTACTGATCCACAATATATTTGCCGCACAGCATGAAAGGGCGCCCCATATGCATTTTCCCGACCAAATCTCGCTCAATCCCCGGCGCGATCACATTTCCTGTGAGACCCGACAGCTGCTGGCTGCCCGCCCGCCGCGCGCCTCCCCAGCCGCCCCCTCCCCTCCGGGCACGCTGCCCCTGCCGCAATCGAATCACGCTGCGCCGCCGAGCACAGTCGCGTGCCGCTTTTTAATTACGGGACGCCGGAGGGGAGGGAGGCGCCGTCTCAATCAGCGCACGAGGCAAATATTTGCGCCGCGATGCTGCGGGGAGATCCGCGCCCTCCTGTCGGTGTCGACGCTAACGAGTGTCGATGACGACGATGTCTGGAAAGGGGGATATTAGCGGGACGGAAGGCACGTGGGGGGGGGGGGGATGAGACGGGATACAGGGTAACGGTTATAACTTGAAAGTCATATGGAATGGGGCAAGTGTCAGAGGTTGATTCATTTTTGGGAATTATTGTGTGACTTCAACTTCTGACCCAACAGCCAAAACTTACGGATGTCTCGCGTAGATCCTTTATGAAGCGTTTATGCAAACTGACCATCCCGTGCCGTTTGTATTGTTTGTATTCGTATCGTTCGGTGTCCAACTGACTGCTGACCCGTGTCCGTCAGTGTTGTTTGGTGTCGCAGTCATCCCATGGACCTCCGACGTCCCATGACGAGTGTGTTCATCCGAGCCGCATGCCTATGTCGGAAGGTCTGTTTGTAAATCTCCTGATTTGTCTATCTGTGTCTGACCAACTCACAATGTCGTCTAATCTGTACGCAACACCCTCCACTGACCTCCCCTCTCTGTGTTCCGCAGGTCCCGCCGCCATGTCCTGCCCCGCCGAGTGGAGCGACCTGGGATCCATCCTGGCCTCTGCCGACGGCAAGGCCTGTCTCTACGGCTACCTCCGCGCCATGGACTCGGGCGACCCGTCCCCCCGCCGCTTCTACAAGCACATCGAGCTGCTGGACGAGGTGGCTCTGTTCCGGCGCGAGGCTGACGACGCCCAGCGGCGCGCAGAGAGGATCGTGTCGCTGTACGTGACCCCGAAAACCGCCCCGGGCGGTCTGTATGCGGCGGCCCCCACGGCCGAACAGCTGAAGCAGGCAGACATCAGCGCCGACCAGTTCGAGCCTCTGGAGGACGCCGCCCGAGAGGCGCTGAAGCCGTTCGTGACGCAGTTTCTCAGTGATGTGAAAAAGGGGGAGAAGACGGTGCGACAGAGGGTCAAGGAGTCGGGGTACCTCGCCTTCAGCGAACAGCTCAACGGTGGAAAGAAGAAGGCACACGTCTGCGCGCTCTGCTAGCGGACCATGGAGGCGTGGGGGGACTACTGTGGAAGGTATCCACTCAGTGACGTGGGGTGATTGTGGGAGGTATCCAGTGACGTGGGGTGATTGTGGAAGGTCTCCAGTGACGTGGGGTGATTGTGGAAGGTATCCAGTGACGTTGAGTACCCGAGGAAGGTCGCCGGTATCCACTGACGCTGGGTGAATGTGGAAGGTGGTGCTACTGATGTGGGACGAATGTTAGCCTACCGATAGTCATTGATATCGGGTCAAAGTGGAAGCTGATTTCTGAATTCTGATTTGAGCGAATGTGGAGGCCGGAGGGCGGATGGCATCCAGTAGCCACCGACAAGGCGTGGATAAAGGATGCCGTTTGAACACGATTAGGTGCGACAGACTAGGTCAGATGGAGAGTGGCGGCCGCCTACAACCGGTTGATTACACCTGTAGACCACATACACCTGTTCCACGTCCATGTGCACTGTGCAGAGATCAATTAGTGAACGTTCCTATTAACTGATACAGCTTGCGTTAGACAAGCTACTTATTTCTAGCTCGCTTCAAGTATTGCAAAAACAATTCATTTCCAACGGTGACAGCTTCGTGAAGAACCATAAACGGATGAGTGGTTGAGGCACTCCCGTTTTCTGTGTGACGGAAACTCTGCGAGAAGCGCAGCTTCAGTGGAGCTCTGTGATGAATCACACGTATGCATGTATAGTCGACTACAGAATGATGTTCCACTCCTCAGAAGCTATCAGTTGACCGGAGCGCTAAGTTGTGCCGTTATCACGCAATTAAGCGTGTCGATTGTGAGCATTGGGACAAAGCTATAATTTGTGAACTCAGCCCGTGTGATGCGCCACAGCCTACCACTACACGCAAATAATTGCCTGTGAAAAGTGGAACATCATTCTGTAGTCGACTTTACAGACACGGCCAGGCTACGGCCAGCAGTGCCTTCGCTTCTGTGCAGAAGCTGCACTCTATAAAGCACTGCTGAGAGAATATGTGTGCGCTTCTTACAGATAACGAAGTACGAACGAACAGATATCGCGGTATTCAATTGCTTTGCCAGTTGACATATGTTACCAAAAATGCTAGTGGCAGGTATAATTTCATTTGGGCGTGTTGGTTTGTCATTCAGTATTCATTGCCTTATACTGCATAGTGATGCTTGTTGTGAGTCATGACGTCAGCTGTCGGACAATATCTGTGATCAGTGACAGTGAAGGTCTGCATCAATAATTGGCTATCCGTGCTGATGCAGCTGGTTGGCCAGATGTCAGCGTCATAAGTCATTTCTTTTCTACAATAAACCAACAGATGCCTACAGTGACATGTCGATTTTAAATATACTTTAATGTCCCACTGCAATAAATAACACTTTTTGTATTACCTATGAACTCTTTTATACTTTTAATTAGGTGCGTAATTTCCAGCCGCAAACATAAGCTTGAAAAGTCGCAATACGAAACCAATGCGTCATCCATGCGTTTCTTTTCATTCACATATAGCTACATCACCATGTAACATCTCAATATACTCGAACATACTATGTTAGAAACAGACACGTGCACCAGTAGCGGCGGAACGCCTTCAATTAGGGGGGAGGGGGGCACTGCCGACTTTTGGTCCCATTCTTTCCATGCAACGTCCATAGGGCTAATGCTAAAATGCCAAAATCAAGGGGGCACGGTGCCGAGGTTAACCCCCCCCCCCATTCCGCCGCCTATGACGTGCACGGTGCACGGACACCGACGACCAAACAAGGAAATCGAGATGCCCGTTTAGATTAATGGCCTTTAAGCGTGGAATTGTTGTGGAAATCATTTCTTATAGGCAACTACCTAAACCCTAAAAAATGACCTAAGTAGCATCCTTGCATTCCTTCAGAGTTGACAGTTCTTAGAAAATCCCATGAGATCCAGCTCGGATCCTTGATCCGGGATGTTGGATCTAAGCTGGATTTCGTAGGATTTTCTTAAAACTGTCAACTCTGAAGAAATCCAAGAATGTTAGCCATTAGGTCATTTCAATTTGGAGGTCTGAGGTGGGTAAGGCCTAGGTATAGGTATCTTAGCAATTATTTCCACAATGATTTCACGCTTGAAGACCATTATTCTAATGGGCATCTCGATTTTCATGTTTGGTCGTCCGGGTTCCGTGCACATGTCTGGTTAGAGACTCTTTCCTTCTGATTGGTGATGGGAAATGGGATACCTACCCCTTCGCAATGGCTCGGCCAAGGCGATAAAGCCCAGCCACCAACCAGTCAACGGAGCAGCACTGGCGACATCTATGCTCGATAGACAGCGCCATCCTCGGGAGAAGTCCAGACTACAAGTAGCGGCCGTCATTATTCTTACCAAAGGCTGGTATAATATTTCATACTGTTTAGGAGGAATGATGACGTATTTCATGACAAATCATTAACATATGCATGACAATAGCACTGAAAACAAGTTGAAAGAACGTAATGCAAAAGCATCTTAAAATATTCCATACTTAGGTTTTTTGGGTATTAGGGTAAACTGGCTTAGAGGCGAAGCAGAACGTCTGGTTCATGAAGAACACACACAGTGTTTCACATAGACCGAAGACACGTGCTGCTTCTTCGCGTGCAGTCTTAGCGGCCCCAGGGGGCTTCAACTCGACCAACACCGGTTCTTCTTCGTTCTCCCTAGTCACGTGATATTACGTCACACAAAGCGCGCGAAAGATAAACCCTTTGAAGGTTTTGCACGAACTAGCATCGGGTTTAAGAAGAAGAGGTTGTGGTTTATTCAGTGTAATGGCTTTCATCAAGACCACGCTCGCGGTACCACGTTCTAGCGTCCACCGGAAGCGATCGCCATTTTTCGATCGCTTTGTATCGTGATCCGTCATGCCTTATGTGTCTTATTGCGCCTGAAAGGCGCCGCGTATCGACGTGAAATTTGGCATGCCAAATCTGTGGGCGTGGGCGGCCTTTGTATTAAAATTTGGGCGTGATCACACCAGGGGTGCACCGTCGGCACGCGCTCGCGTGCGCCATAGGGTTAACACGGGAAACGGTCAAATCGAAGATCGGGCGAAAACCGGCCTGCGGCGCCCACTTCCCGGGCCCAAAACTCGGCGACAGATTGCCGTAGCGAGGTGGGGTTGCCACCACTGGATAGAGGAGAGATGGAACTAGCGTATTGACATGGTTTCATAGTATAGCACGCGCCACGTGCAAGACAGCACCCCCGGTTGTGAAAAAATGACCGATTTCGTGCATTGTGGGAAGAAAACCGATGCCGCTGGAAAACGGCTTGACGGAATGAAATCGTTTTTGTATCATTTTGCAGACAAATGTACGTGTAGTGATAGGAAAGCAAATAAAAACTGCTGATCCGTACCATTTCTTTAATATTGAAAAATTAATTTGAAAATTTGATTTGCACGGAGAGCGATGTCCTTTACAACACCAAAACGTATTGAAAACGATGATCAATCGTTATGAAACCTACATATTCGGAAAGAGCATTCTTTTCTGACCAATATCCACCCAAAATATTATCGAAAAGTCAAAAAACTTTTGTGAAAATGACTCAAACACCCGACCGTGTTTTGTTAACGTTACAGGTATTTTTCGACGAAATCGGATCGGTGGCTTCGGCAGGCAGGCCATTGAACCTTTGACAACAAACTGTACCGGAAGGCACCTCTCGCGAGGGGAATTCGCCAGTAAATAAAATAAATTTATTCTTGCAATAACTCAGCCGCTACCGGGCCGATTGTGCTGAATTTTGGGACTGTCAACGGGCACATATCGAACGACATATTACCATATGTAGGGTGCTAAATGCTAATGCACGTGCACACCTGGAAAGGAGCAGTTTCCTATCTCAAGAACGGCTTGGCCAATTTCTCTCAAACTTGGTACACACTACAGAACCCGTAAAATCAATTAGATACCATACAGTTATCGCGCAAACATGGCCATCTAGTTAAGGTTAATTTTTGACTTGTCAAGTGTTGTGTATTATTTATATTACATGTGATTGACAATGATAAGCAAGATCACAACGCTCTTCAAATGCATGGATGAATGCATTGGATGAAGAAAATTCATATGCAAGACCAATCAATGCAGTAAGTATTTATATGTTGTATAAATGCCCCATAGCTTAAATTATGCATGTGGTGTTTAGACAAATCTTCCAAATGAAGATATATCAGGAATAGAATCAGCTTGCCATTTTGAGGTCAACTGATTTAGGTATAAATTTGGCTGATTTTAATAAACGTGGGTATGTTCTTGCTGATTAGTGCAATATTTTATCTAGCTGCACTTTATATGTTAAGTGCATTATTTTATTTTTGGAGTAGGCTCATGGTCTCTGAAGTCAATCTAAGTTTCTTTACTCCCTGCCTGTTGAATAACGCATCCGCCCGACTCTTTATTCTAGGGGACGAGGCCATCCCCGCTCTGATTGAGGCCCTGGAGTCTGAGGAGAGCGTCCTCGCGCAGAGACGTCGACATCGTCGAAAACGCTGGCTTGAAGCTGGTGCAGGAAGGAGAAACTGTATGTGATTTGGGAGAATGCGATATCGCCACCCGGCTGCTGTCATGGGCGATAGCGCTTACTGTGTTTGGGAAAACATCCACTTGCTAAAGCTAAAAATGTGTTCATATTTGTACAGAAAGCAACCCTGAGCGTGAAGGAATCAACCTGAATAATTAAACATGCCCGAAAGGCTCTGGAGTTCTTTGGCTTGTATGTGTAAGGCAAGTGACACGGCCGAGGGGAAAGCGTTCTTGCGGGCTGATTGCGGGCTGATCGCAGGCTGAATGCGGGCTGGTTGCGGGCTGATCGCATGGGCTGGTTGCGGGCTGGTTGTTCCTGACTGGAGACTTGCAGGCTGATTGCTCAGTGTAAAGAGGAAGGTAATACATTTTAAGGTGTATCAAATACTATGTGTTTGCGCAGCAGATGTGACGGTGTAGGTCGATAGCCATGCATGGGAGGTTCAATAGACGAATGAACGGGGATTTTGCGGTATTGCAATAGAACTGAAGGGGTTCTACAACCGATATTCAGAACACAGGGTGGTTTCCCTATAAACCTCAGGGGCTTCTTCACAGACCCTTTGGGGTTCTTATCTAGGTGCTAGGAACGCTCTTATTATAAACCCTAAACTTCATAAGAGTCTTTGGAAGAATCGTGTGGATTCTTTTCATGAGAATGCAAAGCCGTCTACGTGAAGAACCATGGGGGTTCTGAAAAACGGTGGCATAACATTTTACCCCACAGGGGTCTAAATACCCCTGTACGTTCTTAACGTTCTTCCAAAGTGTTTTCAGTGAGTGCGATCCTTTGTTCCATGATGGATAGCTGACCCATGACCTCTAATGAGTTACGAATTACGATGAACGTCATGCTACTTTTTTGCTTGATTAGGTGCTATTTCATTCACCCGCTTATTTCCAACCAAAAAGGTAAAGTGACGGGTTGCAGACATTGATAAATGAGCGGAACGGGTATCTTTGTGGCTATTGTTAGCCGACGCGTTTCAGTTTGAAATCCTTTGCCCAATGGCTATTGACTGCGCCTATTGCCACTGGCGGATCCAGGGTGTCAGCGCGGGGGGGGCATACCAGGTCACGGAGCCAAACCTAGGGTACCCCCAAATCCTGTTTTCTCATCGGATTTAGGCCACTTATTTTTCGTCATAGCCCTGACACGAGTTTTTTTCTAAAAAAAAAAAAACAGAAATTGTAGGACACCTGAACCCCATTGGCAGATCCAGGAGGAGGAGACTTTTGGGACAAATACCCGGGCAGCGCCAGAAATCGACGAAAATTGGTGGGGCCGGTGGGGCCCTCAGAATGACTGGTGTGCCTATAGAGCCGACCCAGGGCCGCCGGTGTGGCACCTTAAGAGGTACTGGCGTGGGACCATCAAAGCTATCGGTGTGGGTTCCCCAGAGGCAGTGGTGTGGGACCCTCAGAGGCACTGGTGCAGGAACCACAAAGGAGCCGGTGTGAGCCCTCTAAGGTGCTGGTGTGAGGTCCTCACATGGACGCCGTTGTGGTGCCTCAGACACTGGTGTGGCGCTAAGCCCACACCATTCACAGATGGCTGTGTGTGGGGCCCTTGGAGTTGTTGGTGCGAAATGCGAATGCTTAATAACCCAGTAGGACCTCTCAGAGACCGACAAAGGGCCCTCAGAGGCCGGTAACGGACCGTATGATGCC